TGAGGCTGCCAAAGTAGACACGGAAGTGCAAAAGATCAAAGGCAATTTAGATCTAACAACCATCTTTTTTTCTATGCTGGCCTCTCCTGAATCATTTAGTCAGGAAGTCTTAAGTTCTTTTGCAGCAATTTCTCCTCCTTTCAAGTTCACGCACTCTGAGGCAGTGTACACTGCAAGAGGTTGAGTCAACCTTTCTTTTCCTGACCCCCTTCTGGCCATGTTGGACTTCAACTACCATCATCCCCAGCCAGTTTCCCCAAAGAACTGATCACTCTAATTTCAAAACATCCTGAAGCATGCATGTATACAGAAAAGGCTTTAAAAAAAACACACACACAACCTCAAAGAGAAGAAATTTAAGTAAGAATTATGTAGCTTCTGTCCAAAAGGAACTATTTCCACATACAGATTTCTCCACCTGATCAGAAAAATCTTTTGACAGTTGTCTCAAAAGGTGCTTTTTCCAAAAGGCAACTGGACTTTTTTTTTTCCCCCTTCGGAAATGTTTCGCTTCTCATCCAAGAAACATCTTCAGCAAAATGTTTTCCAAGAAGAAACCAAGAAAATATAGTTGCCTTTTTTTGGAAAAAGCGCCTTTGGGACAACCATGATCTGGATGATTGAGAATCTCCAAAGAGACATACAGTCTCTTTAACAGTTGCCATGTCTTCTCTTCAAGAGGGAAATATGCACACCACTGATCTGGCAAGGTGGAAGATCTGTTGTGCAGTCCTGTGCAAAATTCTTGCTGGGACAATCTGATCTTCTAAGTAATTCCTTGCCATAATGTGTGGCCCTTTTAAAGCAAGTCGCACCTTTCATGATCAAAGCACACCTGAACAACAGCTCTTAAGAGAAGCTCATGTGCATAGAAACTTTGCTTTGAATTTTTCACAGATAGCAGAACAAAGAATTCCTGGGATTGTCCTTTTCAGTTCAAAGGATGGATGTAAAAAAATTCCCTGTCCTTGGGAAAAAAAAGATATTGAATCAAAAATCCTATCTATCTAAACCTCTCCTGCACTAATGCTTTTTAAAAAGCAGTCCTACTGGCCTCTTTATATATATGTAGAAAGAAAAAGCACATATATGACATTACATTAAAATGACACTCCCCCCCACTTCTATTCTACAAAAAAAAAAAGGTTGAAAAATCAAACGGAATTGCAAAGCGAATTCGTTCATTTTTTAAAAAAACAAATTAAAGGGTTCCAACTGTGGCCATCTGATTTAAAGAAATATTTATTATTTAATCTTATCTGATTACAAAAGGGCCCCAGTCCAGAAGCTCGTAGATCAGTGGTTTTCAACCTTGGCAAATTTAAAATGTGTGGACTTAAACTCCCAGAATTCCCCAGCCGGTAGGAGGAAAGAGTGGGCCTGCCCAATAACAACTTAGAATTGCACTCCAGCCCTTTCTAAGCTGAATCTAATCTAATTGTGGAATAGAAATATGTAAGAGGTCTGGAAATCTACATGGCTACATTTGGGCCCCTGAATTGTTCAGTTTGAAACTTGGGATCTCCTCTGATATTTCAGCTATTTGAAGAGCATTCCCATGAAGCCCATTATTTAATGCAAGTATGGCATTAGAACATCTTATTTCAATTGCAGAATCTGTGTTCTTATAATGCTGAGATTAGCTACATGCAAATTCAAATTATAATTCTCTCCACTTATTGAAATACTATCTCTTGGCCAACTCTTGGTTAATTGTGAACTGATCTCTTCCATCCTGCAAATAAACTCAGTGCAGCTTATGAAAATTGAGGTGTGGGAGAAAAATTATGCAGTAATTCAATTTAGATTTTGCCCAGAGAATATAGCAGAACAAATGAACAAATGTGTAAGGGCTTTATTATGTCCTATCTAGAGCCAAAGCTCCAACTTCTGCCTTCCCTATACCTAGAGAAGTTTACTGGACTGTCTAACTCTACAACAATGGAAGAAAACATCAATCTTCAGATGTTAGTTCTAGCTCCAGCTACATAGACAGTTATGCACAATGCCTGGAACTGTAGTCTGGCAACATCTGGAAGGCCACAGGTTCTCTAACCCTACTTTCTAGAGCAGGGGTCCCCAAACTTGGCAACTATAAGGTTTGTGGACTTCAACTCCCAGTTTTGAATTCTGGGAGTTGAACTCCACAAGTCTTAAAGTTGCCAAGTTTGAAGATCTCTGCTCTAGAGTGATGTTATCTGCTGCTGTTACTTGTTCGCCCCTTGGCTGATAACAGAACAGATTTTGGTCCATGGGCTGCCAGAATTAAAATCTAATTGTGTTAGATTTTAATGCTTAAAAGTTGATTCTTTCTCACATGCTTCCCTCCTCCCCTCCCCCCTTTTCATACTTCTAGTTTGGCACATTTGTGAGTTTAAGCAATACATCAAATTAAAAAACGAAGTAAAAATGGATGTCTATTCTGAACATTCACAATGTAAAAACAATGTCACAACTACAACTTATTAAAGTAGATAAATCTAACCGCTCTACTTGATCACACCAGATCATGCTAGTCTGAACTTGGAAATGCTTTGTAACTTGCCATTTTATTTCTAGGGAAAATCCCCAATTCTCAAAAGCCTTAAATGCCAAAAGAAGATCAGATGCCAAGTGAAATTTTGCTTCTGCTGATGAATTTAAAACTGAGATATTTCACTAAGAAAGGGGGAAAAAAAACAACAACTAAACAAGGTCTTAGATATATAAAATCTATTTGCCTCTTGGTGAGATTTTGTTACATCAAAAGGAAATTTTCAGCAGAAAAGACATTACTGCTTCTGAATTTGGAACACCAGATTCTATTTAAAAGGTTAAAAGGAAAACCCCGCCATCTCCTTCTGAAAGAAAAATTAAAGCTCTTAAAATCTAAAACACGAACCAGATCACATATAGTAACCACCCCTGTTAAGACAGACCAAATGATCTGCATAACGGCAGGACAGTAGGCCCCCCCTTGAAGGGATCTCAGGAGGAAGGGCAAGGTTGAATGGGAGGATGAACTTCCACCACTTGCCTCCTGACATCCCTTCTTATCTAGTGGACAGAAGAGGACAGAATATGATTGAGGCTGCAGATCAAAGAGAGAGAGATAGAAGGAAAGACATCAGTCCTTGCTTCTACTTCCCTTTTCTCTCCAGCATTTGGTCTGCTGCTGTAATGTTGGGAGACCAGTCTTCACCAGTTTTTCCTCCACTTTCATCATGACTCTCGTTCAAAGCCAGAGAACCACTCAAAGCTATACAGGCTACTGACCTTCCTAAGGGTGCTCAAAACTCTTCCCCTGGTTCAGTGTGACTCTGGACACAGCACGCGCTACAGCAAAACAACTGGCACAACTCTCCCTTTGCCTAGAAAATTCCTGTGCTATCTCCACCTACAAGGAAGGAGGACTGGAAGTTTGTCAAGCAGCAGCTAACTTAGCTTAGCTTGGTGTCTGGTTGGTGCCTGCACCAAGTCCCCATTCTTGTCCCAGTTTAATTTAACGGCTGTCTCCATTCAACTGAATGTCTACCCAGGGAGGCAGAACTGCAGAAAATATAACAGCAGGAGGGAGATAATGTTTTGGGTGGGTGGGTGGGGAATACTAGATTTTTTTTTTTTAAGTTGGTATTTATAATTTCTAGATTTCTTGAAGAGAAGTCATAACCGTGCAACGATGCAGCTGATAGAAATCCGTAGTGTACAGTAAATGTATCCCCCAGAGAATGCGGATATCAAAAATAGCTTATGGTTCAACATACAGAAGAAAACTCTGCACAGGAAAGTGAACACAATCATTTCAACATCTGAAAGTGGAGGGGGAAAGGGGTGGGAGAACAACACCCTATCATAAAGGATGGTCAGTAAAGTTTTGAAAAGTTCGACAAAATAACCTTGGTCTGGTCTATTTTTTAAAAAAAACACGGAAAGTACTATTATAAAACAAGCCATTATGAAAATCTTTTGCTTTTCTTTTCTTTTTTTTGAACGATTCTATTTTGTTTTCTACAGCTCATTTAGAAAACCCATTTCGTTCATTTCCAAAGTGCAGAAAAACAAATTGGAGTCAGTCTTAAGCCAGGAAAGGGGGGGGGGGGGTGAGGGAAGAATCTACATCAAAACAAGCCGAACCGAAGTTAGTCACAACGGACAATCGTGTTGCCAAAATGTTGGGTCAGTGCTTAAGATTTATTGGTAGATTTTAAGTCCACTCAAAAAGGCAGTGGGCAAGTTGTCAACTCTGACATGACAGTCACAGTTGGGCCAAAAAGCAGCTTAGATTTCAATGGGACTTAACTATGACTAATATTCCCTGGAATAAGCCCATCACTGAAAAGTCACTGCTTCTGTGGGTCCGTATTCAGGCACTTTACTGAAACGCAACGTAACACACTTAAAGCTATTAAAAACACGGATAATTTGTGCTCTAAAACTGCAAAGAATGTGTGCTGGAGCACCACAGAGACGGGATCTTTAAAAAAAAAATTTTTTTTTTTTTTTGGCAATTCACATCTTTCCCTCAAAAAAGGCCAGCCGCCAATGGGTACCACCTCTTTGAAGTGACGGTGGCAAAATCGCTTCTTGGGAAACTCAATCTGGCGTCTCCATTGGAAGGAACCTCCGAGGCTCCACAGAAATGAATGGGGATCTGTGATCCGCCCCAGTTTTGTTTTAAGAGAGGCTTTGGCAACGTGGGAGTTGATGATTGTTCAAGGCAAGCAAGCCAAGGTTAGGAACAATGTTTGGGAAAGAACAAACCGCTGTTCCCCGGCCGTTCTGAACAGAACTTTTCAACAGGAAGTTTGTTAGGGGGAGAAAAAAAAAAACACCTTGCCTTTCTGCTCAAATATTGCACTTCCTTTGTTCGCTCATGACAACACACAGAAACATGATTCATAGCTTTAAAATATAGATTATATATATATGTGTATATATAAAAACCTGCTCTGACATGATCATGCAGGAGAATATGAAAGGAATCAAATTTCTTAAAAGTTTGAATGAACACCACCGTAATTACTCTTCTATATATATATATATATTAAAAAGAAAGAAAGAAAAGAAAACAGGAATGGAAGAAAGGTGTAACTTCACGAAAGCACTTTCTCTGCTTGTGGAAGGGGTGGGTGGCGTCTCAAGAGAAAGGATCTCAAGCTACTGTATGAGGGAATTTTAACGCAGCCCTACCTGAGATTCTGGTGGAGCAACTGCCCACCAGAACTCACAGTAATGGGCAAGACAGAACAACGATCTTTCACCCAATGGAAGGCAGCGTAACATAAAACTCTTAGGGACGCCACTACAGATCCGTGAAAGAATCTATGCGAAGGGGCACAGGGTTGGGGAAACTGAAGAGGAGAAGGAACAGGGCTGGCCTCAACTCTCTGGTGATAGGGAGTTAACACAAACCCCAAACTTTCCTATTTGGACCAAACCGACTTAACTTGTGTAGGTCATTTTCTCCCTTTTGATCAGGCAGGTGTGTGTTGAACATGCACACGGTGCACTGCTTCCTGATTCACGCACCAGTTAAAAGTTACAAAGTGACTTGGTTAAAAAAAAGAAGAAAAAATCCCCACATGCCAAGTTAAAACTGGGTTGCCAAGAACCTCCACGCACTGGGAGAAGCGACACAATCACAGGGCCAAAGAGGGCAGGCCGTCCCTCAACCTGTACAGTTGAAATGGATAAGGGGGAAGAACCACTGCACTTCAGGAAATTGTCTTCCAATGCTGTGTTGTCAGTAGCACGCTGCGGGGGTTTGCAGCAGTTGCTTTCACATTTTTTTTTCTTCAGAAAGAAAAAAGAAAAAGGCAAACACAATAGTTGCGTTCATTCCACACGACCTCCAAACTACCGCCGAAGAATTAAACATTTCTTGGAGTTATGCAATAACAAGCTAACTGAGCGATTCAGCTTAAAAACATAGCGTACACCAAGGGAAAGGGACTGTTAATATTCCAGAAAGAGCTAAAAGAAAAGAGGGGAGAAGAGACGGACAAACCCTGTGTACGACGCCGTCTATAGGAGAGATCGGGTGCGATAGGTGGAACCTCAAAACAGACGTTTTTAATTCTGAGTGCAAGGAAAAACCAAACAAAACAAAACACAGAGATAGCAAACCAGCTTAGAGGGGGGTTGCGAGCAATATTTCCAACAGGAAACCGCTTCAGGAGACGCGTTCCACAGTGTTATATGTTTGCGATCGCTAGTAAAGTTAAGCATCAAGAAAGAGAGAGGCGGACAGAGAGAAGAGCGAGGGGTCATTGCACGGTAAACAGCTGCCAGACACACAGCTTCAGCTTTCAACACTACGGAATCCAATAGGCCTGACGCCCGCCCAAGAAGGGGAGCCTTTTACTGCTCGTCTTATTTGGAAGCTTGGCTCCGACGGCCGCGTTGGGCCCGTCAGGTCAAGTGACGGGTGATGGCACGAAAGGCGTAGAGCAGCTCAGCCTGCATGCGAGCCTCCATCAGAAGAAGATTCACGTGGACCTAAGGAAATAGTGAAGCAAATTGGTAAATGTCTATGGGGGTTTCCAGTCTTCCGGGGCACAGTTGTCTCAAAGGAGCTTTTTCCAAAAGCAACTGGACTGGTTGTTGGGGTGTGTGTGTGTGTTTGTTTTTGAGGAAGAAGACGACGTTTCACTTCTCCTCCAAGACGCTTCATCAGTTGTGTTGGTTGTTGAGAGGGATGTAAAGAGGGCTTTCATCCCACCACCATCAGAACTGATGATGCTTCTTGGAGGAGAAGTGAAACGTCTTCTTTTTCTTCCTCAAAAAAACCCCAGTCCAGTTGCCTTTGAAAAAACACCTTTCAGCATCATCTTCTTTTAATGACCCCATAATCCCTTGCCGGGTGGAGCCTAGGCAACTGATTAACTGGCCGGGTGCCCTTCCTGTTGCCAGTGTGGAGCTTTCTTCCGCAGATGTATTCTCACTGTGCCCGGAGAGAGAAACACCTGCCTCTGCCTAGGATCAAACTCACAGCCTCTTGGTTGTGAGGAGAGTGCTCCACTTTTGGCCACCATACCACTCCTTTGAAAAAGCACCTTTGAGACAAACCAATTGGTAATACATGGATATAGAGAGCTGTTCATAGTGTTAAGAACTTTTCTCAAAGAGCTGCTTGATCTTTCAAGAGGCAAGGTTTAAACGGATTGAGATTACCGTAACCTATTCTACCTGGAGCTGCCCTTGAAGACCAGCTGGAAACTTCAGAGGGTCCAAAATGCCCGTTGACTTAGTGCTTGGTCCCAGTACAACCACATCACACCCTTTGTGATTGGTTTATATAATGTCACTTTACACCTTGGGTTGGATACCAATAGGTTTCCAGGTGAAATTCCAGGTGCTGGTTGTGACCTATAATAAGGTGCGGGTTGTGACTTATTAAGGCCTCACGTGGCTCAGAACTTGAATGTCTTAGAGATAGCCTTTCCCCAACAGTTTCCACCTGTCTTCCCTATAAAATGAAGGAGCACCACCTGAGTGTCCCCAGATACCAGGAGGTGCAGTGTGAGAAAATCTGTTGATAAGCATTGTCTGTAGCAGCCCCCTACTCTGGAATCCTGAAGTGGATGTGCTCCTCGCCCCATGGCCTTCCAAGAACCGATGAAAACATGGAACTTCTAGGAGGCCTTTGGGGGACAACCGTGACACCACATCTTAGTTTTATAATGTTTCATTTTAGCCCTAATTATTTTTTATTGCTCTCATGTTTTTAATGTTTCATTTCTGTACGGTGCCTAGAACATAGATGGTTTCAGGATCATGATACCACGTCTTAGTTTTATAATTTTTCATTTTAGCCATAATTATTTTTATTGCTCTCATGTTTTTAATGTTTCATTTCTATAGGCTGCTTAGAATCTAGACTGTTTCAGGCACTTGGATAAATTTTACAAATAGATGGACTAGTTCACAAGTGCCAGCTCAGTACTCATCACTTGAAACATCACCTGGACTGTTAAATGGGAGAGGAAACTGTCACAGATGTTCCAGAATCCTTGTCATCGGCCACTGGTTTAAAACAAAATTTCCACCCAATCTCCTTCCTTTTAAACATAGACCATTCTACCTTCCAGTTTCGAAGAGGAAAGGGGTGACCATCACTCTTGAGTCATTGTTGAAGAATATTAAATGCAACGGGAGGGTACGTTTAGTGCTACCCATTTCCAAGGGTGGATACAAAAAGGATGTGTGTTAATGTGCCTGAGGGACTCACCTTTTCTGAGTGCTTGAACTGGCGCCAGTAGCTGTCGTACATGCGCTTGGTAGTTCTCTCTGGGTAGCAGGTCACTGTCTTAATGTAAATCTTCAGGTTCCGTTCAAGTAGTTGATTAACTTCGCCATAATCATAGTCATCATATCTAAATGAGATTAAGATTTTCTGAGCATGTGATATCTTTAAAAAGCAATACTTTCCCCCTTTTTTGGGAGGTGGGGGAGGGGTTTGAAAAAACCCTTCAAACTGCGCATCAGGATAAAAAAATGCCTGATTGTCAATCTTGCTGTTCCAATATGATGCAGTTCAATTAACTTTGTCAAACTTTGAACCCGAAATGCCTTTGAAAAGAGCCAATTTTTATTAAAAAATCTTAGGACCAAATTCACCCAGTGTATTTTGCTAAGATGGAGAGAACATCATTAGGAATTGAAGTTACAATTTCAGCTGTGAATTGAAACCTCTTAGAATATTTTTTTTTCTTGGAAATAAACCATTTTAAAGAATTTTATGGAATCTGATTCACAAGAATCCAGAGTTATTTAGTTAGCAAAATTTCAACCCACAGTTCAGTCATAATTGTCCACCTGAAAAGTTCCGTAAAGAATAATGCAGAAGTGTGTTTGAAGAGATATTACAAACATATGATTGTATTTGTGTGTATATGACTGTATGTGTGTGTATATGAGTGTCCCTGAACAAATTGTGCGCCATAATTCATGCAGGTCAGAGTCACAAAAATTTAGTAGGCAAGAAGAGAAAAGTGGCTGCCCTTCTTCCATCCAAAATACATGTGAAGAGTGCTCAGCCTCCATCAAGGAAATCCATGGGAGGTGTCAAAAAAAGTCAGGGTGGCCATCACTTGAAGCCTTGCCACTTTTTGATGTGACTTAAATAAAAAATTTAAAAGATGGATGGACCCAGACAAATTTAGGGGATTCATGAGAAATTTAGTCCTAATAAAGAGGTTTAAACTTCATTATTCGGATATTGACTGCAGCTGTAACAGCACAGAAAAGATAAGCAAATTTCTATGCTTACACGGGGCAAAAGTATAGCTCGGGTATGATGAACTGCACACTACTACAGAAAATGGGACAAGGAAGGCTGCTTGTATCATTGCTATGGAAATGTCACTCATTGTGCGCAAAGCTAACTTTGTTGGGAGGGGAGGATTTTCCACTTGCTTAGAAACACGCAAGTGGCCAAATGGCGATTAGCTAATGTGGTTGCGCCATTTCAAATGTCTGGTGTCACACTGACAACATATACCCAATAAAGGAGAATACTGGTAGCTCAGGATTGAAATCGGGGTCCTTGGTGTTCTCAGAGTTTGGTGTCTTTCTTGCCAACGTTTCATTCATTACCCAAACTAGGTAACGTTAACTGTGTGGATGTTAACTCGGAGAACACCAAGGACCCAGGGGTGGGATTCTACAGGTTCACACCTATTCTCTAGAACCATTGTTAACATTCTAAGCAGTTCGGAGAACTGGTTGTTAGAAGAAATTACTGGCCTAATCCTGTAAGGAAGGCAGGAAGGAAACATTCTGGTGTTGCTTACAGAAACTGCCTCTCCGTTAACCCTTATTGCATTCTTGGCAGGACTAGACTTCCTGTCTCAGGAACTTCTCTGGAGTTTTTTCCCCCTCCTTTGCTGGTACTTTGCTTGTGTGGAGTGACCATTCAAAGTTACAATGGCACTGAAAAAAGTGACTTATGACCATTTTTCACACTTACAACTGTTGCAGCATCCCCACAGTCATGAGAGGCCAGGCGAGGAGATGCGTGCCTCGATGTGAGTGATGTTAAGTTGGCCACACCCAGCCAGTCATATGACCACTAAGCCATGCCCACCACCTAAGCCACGCCCACAGAACCGGTTCTTAAAAAATTTGCATCCCACCCCTGCAAGGACCCCTCACTGACTACATGTGAATGGGTCTGAACCTCGCCATCCTGATGGCAGAGGAGGAAAGAGGACACTGGAGGTTTCTCAGACTATTTCTCCAACATGGCCCAAAGGAAGGCTTGGAATTGGAATCTGGTGTTTATCATGGTGTGAAAATTTTACGCTGCTCTTCCATTCTGTGGTCCAGATGAGTAACATTCCTTTGAAGCTGCATTAAGTTGGTTACCTAACAGAAATAATGAAGTGAGGTTTCTTCCAATTACCCCCCCCCCAAGGGGTGAGCTGCAGGGATTTGGAGGAGCTGCTAGCTAAGGTTCTTTGCAGTTCAGAGAACCCCCAAATCCCACTCCTGGCTGGCCCCACCCCACCCCTCCCAGGAGTAAATATGTGGCTTGTTTTGGATGCAGGTAAGTGCAGGGCGTGCGTGGAGGCTCAGGGAGGGTGAAAAACGGGCCTCCTGGAAGTTCGGGAAGGCTGGAAATAGGCCCATTTCTGGCTTCCAGAGAGCCTCCGGAGCCCGGGGAGGCTGTTTTCACCCTCCCAGAAGCTAGAGGAAAGTCTCCGGAACTGTGGGGCAGGAGGCCAACTAGGCCACGCCCACCATGGCCACGCCCAACCAGCAACCGGGCAGAGAACCCAGAGCTAAAAATTTTTGAAGGCCCCCTGCCACCCCAAATAGCAGCTTTTGTGGACATTTTTATCAGGACAACAGCAGGGAAGGGAAAATAGGGTTTAAGTATTAAAAGAATACAGGAAGTCCTCGACTTGTAACAATTCCTTTTGTGACCGTTCAAAGTTACAACGACACTGATAAAAGTGACTTATGACCCTTTTTTCAGACTGACAACCATTGCAATTTGATCACGGTTACATGATTAAAATTCAGGCGCTTGGTAACTGGCTCATGCTTTATGACGGTTGCAGTGTCCTGGGGTCATGGGATCCCTGTGTGCCACCTTCTGACAGGCAAGCCAGATTTATTTAACAACTGTGTTACCTACTTAACAACTGCAGTGATTCACTTAACAACTGTGGCAAGAAAGGTCCTCAAAATCAAATGGAGGAAAACTCACTTAACAGCTGTCTCCCTGAGCAAAAAAAACTTTGGGCTCAATTGTGGTCATAAGTCGAGAACTGCCTGAATTAAGTAACAAGGCATACTTAACATCATATTTACTCTGCCCCTAAGTGGCAGAAAACAAAACCTCCTGATCCTACAGCATTTCTTCAGTTCTTAGGAAAACAAACAAAACAAACAGTGACTGGATATAAACCCAGAGCGAATGCCATCATATTACTTTCGACTGTGTTTATTTTTCTTCTTTAATTATAAATGCATATTCATTTACACCTTTCTATCTTGTTGTGTTCAGGGCAATGCAAGTTAACATATACTGAGGTTCTCTCATTCAAGAGGGGAATATTTATGATTATGATTATAATTGCCTCTATTCAGGGGTGGGATTCAAATTTTTTAAAAACCGGTTCTGTGGGCGTGGCTTAGGTGGTGGGCATGGCTTAGTGGTCATATGACTGGCTGGGTGTGGCCAACTCAATATCACTCACATCGAGGCACGCATCTCCTCGCCTGGCCTCTCATGACTGTGGGGATGCTGCAACAGTTGTAAGTGTGAAAAATGGTCATAAATCACTTTTTTCAGTGCCATTGTAACTTTGAATGGTCACTCCACACAAGCAAAGTACCAGCAAAGGAGGGAAAAAAACTCCAGAGACCGTCCTGAGACAGGAAGTCTAGTCTTGCCAAGAATGTAATAAGGGTTAATGGAGAGGCAGTTTCTGTAAGCAACACCAGAATGTTTCCTTCCTGCCTTCCTTACAGGATTAGGCCAGTAATTTCTTCTAACAACCGGTTCTCCGAACTGATTAGAATGTTAACAACCGGTTCTAGCAAATAGACGCGAACCTGTAGAATCCCACCCCTGCCTCTATTGCATCACATTTAATTTTTCAAACATAAAGTACTATTAAACTATAAGATGTAACATCCTCTGATTATAACCATTACAAGTCCAGAAACCATGGAATGCATCCGTTATCCCAGCCAGCATAAAACATACCTGATTCCAAACATACAGTGAACATAATTAAATAATGCTCTTCTTAACATGGTGGTGTCCACGTCTTCATGGCTGGCCATGGTATTGTAGGTGAGGTTGTAGACCATCCGAAATTTCTCATCCAGGAGATGCCCAATATCAGAATAGAGTCTGTTCACAAGGGAGAATCCGTGGTTTTCCCAAGTGTAGTCCTTTAAAATAATAATAATTCCATCAATTTGTTTATCGTTCAGCAGTTCTTTTTCTACACCTAAACAGTTCTGGTAGAGGCAGTCCTTGACTTGCAACAGTTCACTTAGTTACAATGGCACTGAAAAAAAAATGACATGACCATTTTTCACACTTATGACCTTTGTAGCAGCCCCGTGATCACGTGATCAAAATTCAGATGCTTGGCAAATGGTTCTTACTTATGACCATTGCTGCATCCTAAGGTCATGTCATCCCCTTTTGCGACTTTTTGACAAGCGAAATCAATGGGGTCACCAGATTCACTTAACAACCGTGATACTAACTTATCAATTGCAGGGATTCACTTAACAGCTGTGGCCAAAAAGGCTGTAAAATTGGGGGGGGGGGGAAACTCACTTAACAGATGTCTCATTTAGCAACCGAAATGTTGGGCTCAATTGTCGTCAAGTCAAGGACTAGCAGTATATGTTGGTTGCTCCCTGAAAATTGTTCTAATTTGTTTGGAGAAAGAGCTTAAGTGTCGTCAACAGTAAGTGAATTCATTGCTGGGGGGGGGGGGGGGGGGGAGACAGCTTCTCTGGCAAGCACCCTGCTGGCCGAAGATGGGGCACGGGGAGGCCGTACGAGCACCCCCGTGCCCCTGCAGCACTCTGCCAGGCAAAACAGGGCACGGAAGGGCCATGTGAGGCCTCCCTGCACCAGTGGTATGATTTAATTTTTTTTACTACCGGTTCTGTGCACATGGCTTGGTGGGGGTGGCAGGGGAAGGATACTGTAAAATCTCCAGTCAGTTCTCTGAACTACTCTAAATTTTCACTACCGGTTCTCCACAACAGGTCAGAACCTGCTGAATACCACCTTTGCCCTGCATCCCATTTTGGCTGCCAGAGGCACTATGGGCCGGTCCTTTGCTATTTCCAGGCCGGACTCATGGGCCAGATTTAAGCACCCCACGAGCCGGATCCGGCCTGCGGGCCTTCAGTTTGCCACCCCTGCCTTACATCGATTTATTCTAGAATCTTTTGAGATATTTTTGCTCCAACAATAATGCCTCTTTAAGAATCCATTAATCATGGACAAAGAACACAGTGCACGCCAAAAAGTCACAAGGACAATCCCAGGCATCTCCAGGTAAGGCTGGGAAGGATTGTTAAGTCTTAGAAAGCAGCAACCAGGCCATGCTTTCAATTCTGGCCTGGATAGAACAGCTTTCCTGTGATCAGAGATGTAACAGAAAAAGAGTCATTTTGAACAAAAGCCAAGGATGCTCACTCCAAAAAACTTAGGGCTGACAAGAGGCTGCCATCTTTGCTTCTTATTTTGGGTCTCCATCAGTAAGTTACACCTGTCACGTAAGTTACCTGGGCTCGAAATGTTGGAAGATGATCTTCCCCGCGTCTTGCAAAATCTTTGTAACCAAACCCAGGGTCTTCAACATAGCAGGAAACATCACAAATTAATTCTTCATCAAATGCTATTAAAGAAAAGGACAGGAGATAGTAAAATATATCTTTTTGTTCTTATCAGATTCATCTCAAAATGACTGTATGTTACCAAATGAGGCATAAGCCCAGGCTGGTTCCCCATTGGCTTCCCCTGACCTAATCTTATTTCCTAATTTAGAAAGGGAACTGTTAGTGTCTGAGCTACATCTAACGCTACGAAGTTCAGTTGCAGGCAAAAACATAGTTGGTCTCTTCTCAGTTAGAGATGTTGTTTTGACACATGCTACAAAGTAAGACAATTTCAAACGAGACCTCAATAAATTAAAGAAATGGAAGTTTGAAATGGAACCATACGTTCACGCTTAGCAAAAAAAGACAACCAGGCAATAGTGAGGGATTAATTTCATACATATATATCTATATCTATATCTATATCTATATCTATATCTAATCTATATCTATCTATCTATCTATCTATCTATCTATCTATCTATCTATCTATCTATCTATCTATCTATATCTATCTTAAGTTTTCGCGGGTACTTACATGTATGGTATTCAGCTTTGTTCGGGTATTTTCCCACGTCATTGTAGTTGTGCTTTTAAAGTTGTAGCAACGTTTCGGCAGAATCTCATCTGCCATCATCAGGCTTCTGCTCCAAGACCAATAAACACAGACCAAGACTCCCAACCAATCAGGATGAAGAAAAAACCATTCTGGCAGAGCAGTAGGCTAGCCCCAAATTTAAAACTGAAACAACTGTAAAAGTCTGACTCACAGACGAACACAATACAGAAGCCTGATGATGGCAGATGAGATTCTGCCGAAACGTTGCTACAACTTTAAAAGCACAACTATAATGACGTGGGAAAATACCCAAACAAAGCCGAATACCATCTATCTATCTATCTATCTATCTATCTATCTATCTATCTATCTATCTATATTTGTAAACTAAATCTTTCACCAAAGTATTAAACTGCAATTATTCTTAAAAATGCATCTGAATGGATGATGTACAATTCAGTTCAGAACACCGGTCAGCTGAACTTCTACAAATCATTTCCAATTCATTCCAATCTGCACTGGAGGAGGGTCTAGGCTTTAGAACAGAGGTCTCCAGAGTTGGCAACTTTAAGACTTGTGGACTTTAACTCCCAGAATTCTCCAGCCAGAGAATTCTGGGAGTTGAAGTCCACAAGTCTTAAAGTTGCCAAGTTTGGGGACCCCTGCTTTAGAATCTCTATATAAATATTTCTTCATATAAAGATTTCTGCTATTAGAATGCAGCACTGCAGATCTTTTAGTTGATAACAAAGAAAAATCCATGTCAAGGATTAGGACCCTGTCCAGAGAGACACCCCTGGTTTTGATATAGGATGCCAGTCCAATGAATACTATAGCTTGATGCAAGTGCGACTGTCAGTCTATGGAGATTCTCAGTCATCCAGGCCATGGTTGTCCCAAAGGTGCTTTTTTTTCCTCCAAGAGGCAACTAGACTTTCTGGTTTTTCGTTGAAGATGTTTTGCTTCTCCTCCAAGAAGCTTCTTCAACTCTGACTGGATGGTGGGGACTGGATGGTAGGAAATTTCCCCACCATCCAGCCAGAGCTGAAGAAGCTTCTTGGATGAGAAGCGAAACGTCTTCAAAGAAAAACCAGAAAGTCCAGTTGCCTCTTGAACAAAAAAGCACCTTTGGGATTGTGCTTCAGTCACAGCCCCATTGGATTTGCCCACTGGGGAAAATAAAGATTGAACCACATTGTCCACGGCTCCAGAGAAGAAGAAAAACAAGACCAAAAGCAAGTTCGATTCTACCTTAGTCCTATTTGGGTAAAGTGGACGAAAAGAGATCTCTGGATAAAAGCCAAATTCTTCCATTTTCTGAGCAATATGGAAAAAAAACTCCAGCATTACAAGTCGTCCTTGACTTAGAACTACAGTTTGGGCCAGAGTTTCCGTTGCTAAGTAACACAGTCATTAAGTGAACCATGCCCAATTTTTTTTTTTTTTTTGTCTGTAAGTGAGTCATGGGATTGTTAAGCACATCTGGCTTGGCCCTTTGACTTTGCTTGTTGGAAAGCCAGGGCGGAAGGTCACAAATAGTGATCACATGACCTCTGGACAATGCAACGATTGTAAATACAATACAATAGCATCCTCATTTTGATCATGTGATTACGAGGATGTTGCGAAGGTCTTACGTGTAAGGATGAGTTGTAAGTCACTTTTTCAGCGCTGTTGTAACAGTCATTAAACAAAGCGTTGTAAGCAGAGGATTACCAGTACCAACAATTAAAAGCAGGGCATCTCTCTTACCAAGAAACCCTCCATCCATTTTCTCCTCTCTGCCAGCTGAATGTTCAAAAGAAGATTTGAGTTTGCTAAATACCTTTTTGAAGCTTGGCCGCTGCAAAGGTGTCTGCAAATTATCTTGATTCCCCAATCTGGGCTGACACCCAGGCATCCTAATGAAATTGGGTGGGGAACCTGCTCTGTGTCTATTAGTGGCCCCATTAAAAAGAAACCCTTCAGTTCACCCAACTATCACAAGGACACCTTTATGTTTTCATTCTGGCTCATTAGCCAATTAAAACATAACTATGTGGGAAGAAACCTACTTGGCAAGCATCCAAATAGTTTCTTAATGCAGTTTAAGAAATCAGAAGTTGTCAAGCCTTGAATTACTCTTTGTTTTGGGACTGATTCCTGCCATCTCTTTTGAAACAAGATTTCTGGATGTCTGTGACAGCATTTAAAAAAAGAAAAAAACACCCCAGAACAAGCTATTAAAGGCAGAAACTAAAGCAGTAAAAGAGTCTCTTATCTGCTTTAGCTCTGCAGCCTACGTCCTTCACCTTTTCCATTCTGAGTGGCATAAAAAATGTTTACTGCATGTGGATAATTTACTTCAAAAACATTATTTTAAATATATACATATACAGTGCACGGGTACAAAATTCAGCATTTTTAATCTCCTTTACTAGCTGCTCAGTTCAATTTTTCTACTGTGTTAGCCACTATAAAGGTAGTCCTTGACTTATGACTACAATTAAGCTAAAAATTTCTGTTGCTAAATGAGACATTGGTTAAGCGAGTTTTGCCCCATTGAATGATCTTTCTTGACACAGTTGTAAAGTGAATGACTGCAGTTAAGTTAGTAACACGATTGTTAAGTGAATCTGGCTTCCCCATTGGTTTTGCTGCTGTCGTAAATATGAACCAGATGCTAAGCCTCTGAATTTTAATCACACGACCATGAGGATGCTGCAATGATTGTAAGTGTGAAAAATGGTCATTAATCACTTTTTTCAGTGCTGTTATAAACGGTCACTAAATGAATTGTTGTAAGTCAAGGACTAACTGTAATAATTTCTGCATCATAAAGCTCCCTCATAAGAGCTTCTGTGATCCAAGGAAGAATGTAGTAAGTTTTATTCTACAATAATTGAAAGCCTAGATTTTTCTCCTTTTTCCCACTAGCTCAGCTTTCTCCATCTGACACATCTTCTACATATGTAGATTTTATTTCTCAGAATTCTTAACACTGAACATGCTAGCTAAGAGATTATGGGAGTTGATATTTAAACACTGGGTGGATGTCCAGGCTCCAGAACTGGCAGAGAGGAGGAAGGGAAGTGACTTCACATTCAAATAAAATGCCAGGCCAAACTCCCCATTCAGAAAATGCCTGGGGGTTGTGAGCAATTAAAATACTAAATTAAAATCCATCTTCTGATCCATTTGCTCACCTTTGGCAAGTCCTCCTGTTTTTAAGCCCGTATACCATGAATTTAACCACCAGAAGCATTTCCCAGGTGGCCACGGTTCAGGAAGTTAACGTTCAAGCACCCAAGTCTTAAATTCAAAAGATCCTTACAAGTGATCCGTTCGGATCTTTTGCGATGGAAACAGAGAGAACCCAACCTGGAACTAAAGAGAAATTTCCTGAGAGTAAGAAGAATTCATCAGTGGAACTGCTTCCCTTCAGGAGTTGTGGGTGCTCCATCACTGGAGGTTTTTAAGAAGAGGCTGGACAGCCTGTCAACTAAAAAGATACTCCTTTGGCCTTTTTAGCTGTCAGAAAAAGGGAGTGGGGGAAAACAAGGCATTCTTGAAATGCCTAGATTTCAGCCCAAAGGCAGCCCAAAGTTGTCAGAGCATAAGAAGGTTATTGGAGAGCATGATGGATGACTCTTGGAGGTGGATGTGTCCCATTGGAGAAGTCACATCCAGGGGGTGGGGGAAAAACCAGGGTCAAGGGGGAAACGTATGATGTAATTTAGCATCGGCTGCACCCGGCCACACGCCAACATGACAACTTCTAATAAACCAATTTACTTTTCTCTGAGATGCGGCTAGAAACTTTTGATTTGAATGAGGGTGGATTTGTTGGAGCCCTGACACAGCCATCTGTCTGAAACGATATAGGGTCTCCTGCCTGAGCAGGAGGTTGGATTAGAAGACCTCCAAGGTCCCTTCCAACTCTATTATTAAGGGCTGAAAGTTTAGCTGAAAGACATGCACCTCTTCACTGAGGGGAAAAAAATCCCGTCTTTGCTGTAAATGTATTTATTGACCACATTTTGGAAGTGGTCATCTCCCTCTCAGAGCGACTGGGCAGTGTATAATAAAATATTAAAAAATTAAAAAGTATATAAAAGTTAAGTTTTTTTTTTTTTAAAGTCAAGGTTGATTAAAACACTTACAAAATTATTAAAAGGCAAATGAAGAGCCTTCAAGCTGCTAACCAGCCCCATGGCTGCATGCTCCTCACCCAAGGCCACACAGCCATGTTTCACTCCTTTTTTGGAAGGCCAGGACAGTAGGACAGCCTGCCTCCAGGGTTGGGATTCCAACGGTATAACAACCGGTTTGGTGATTGCACGCTTTGCACATGCTCTGCGTTCAGAAAAGCTCAAATACCTACCTTGTAATGCAATTCCTGTGAATCAAACAGCTGAGGCGCGGCAAAACTTTCTGCCGCGCCAATCAGCTGTGTTCTAAAAACAGGAAATAAAGGACAGGAAAGAGCAGGGGCAGGCGGGTGGGCCCACATGCAAGTCACAGCGAACTGGTTCAGAGCCAGCCAATCGTCGGAACAAGGAGTTCACCTGATCCGGTCTGAACCGGTAGAATCCCATCCCTGCCTGTCTCATCTCCAGGGGAACAATAATCCACAGGGCAGGGGTGATGCCAAAAGAAAGCTTTCTTCTTGGACCCCGTCAGTCAGAATGCTTAACCTCAGCAACATACCTTCCCTGCCTGACTGGGTGGGACAGGCTAATGCAATGGAACGAAGATGGTTTCCTAGACACCTGGCCCCATGACATGTAGTGTCAGGATTCCGGCAGTTACCCGTTCATGAGTCTTGAGACAAATTTCCAAAACTTCAAAAGGATTTATTGGGAGTTAACATGTCCGGCATTGCCTGGGTGTAGCTGACTCTGAGACACATCATTCATTGTCACCTTTGACCCTGGTTTTCCCCCACCCCCTGGGTGTATCATAATTCATATTCTCCAATGAGACACATTCATAGTCATCAGTCATGTTCTCCAGTTAGAATTTTGCACGGCAGAAACTTCAGCCACCTAGTTACTATCTTGGAAAAACTATTTATGGAATGCACTTTTGCTTTCCAAGCTGCCACACTGCTCTTTCAAACCCCTTTCCCCTCTCTTCTTCTGTTGGCAACTCTAAAAAGACCTTAGAAATATTTTATGAGTTGACATATAGGGCTTTAATGTTCATAACCAACACCCTGAATTGGACCTGGAAGCAAACTGGCACCCAATGCAGTTCGCAGAGCAAAAGTGCTACAGGGCTGGCTGGGGAATTCCAGGGGTTGAAATTCACACATCTCGAAGTTACTGAGGTTGGGAAATACACTGCTCTAAAGTCTCCAAGATTTCACTGAGCTACCTGGGGCGCAGCTTTTTTTTCTTTTTTTTTTTTGGAATATGTCATTTCATATTCCCAGTGATGAATTAGGTATTTGAACATTCCAAGACTCTTTATACACCTTTTAATTTCATTTTCATTTTCTTTGTGCAAAGTTTGCATGTCAGAGAGAGACAGAAGATGAGCTAAAGCCTTCTAGACATTTTTTTTATGATTAAAGATTTATTGCCAGTGTAGGGGAACATGCAAAGAGTGTCCCCATTTAGAATACTCCGAAATGGTCTGAAGAAAGCAGATTTCCCTGCATGTATAAACGGGCTCAGAACAACCTCCAGCAAGTGAAAACCACACCTGTAGTTTAGCTTGATTTTATTTAATTCAGGGGGCCGATCTGAATTCTGAAAAGAGCTCCGCTGGAGCACACGGAGGGCAATACCTTCAGTAACAACTAGTAGGCTCTCTGATTTTTCTTTCTCAAAGCGTGTATCCATTTCTTCTGGGGAAGTCTCGTCCTCTTCTTGTAGCCTCTTCATTCTGTCCATCAAGGCCTCCAGCTCACATAATGAATCGGAGAGCTAAAACAGACCACAAGTCGGAAGAATGATACCAGTTATTGATTCTCTTTTGAGATGAAACTAATTTTTGCTTACTATTCTACTACTACTACTACTACTACATTCGTGTCGGGAGCAGTGGTGGTATTCAATTTTTTTTTACTACTGGTTCTGTGGGCGTGGCTTGGTGGGCATGGCGTGGCTTGGTGGGTGTGGTGTGTATTGGTGGGCGTGGCTTGGTGGGCATGGCAGGGGAAGGATACTGTAAAATCCCCATTTCCACCCCACTTCAGGGGAAGGATATTGTAAAATACCCATTCCCTCCCTACCCCACTAACCTGCTTTCCAGTTCTGTTCTCCTATGCAGGACAACAAAAGAAGACCCAGCTGATCAGCTAGGATCGGGAGGCAGCGAATAGATGGGAGCGGGGCCAACCAGGGGTGGTATATTTACCAGTTCTCTGAACTACTCACAATTATAAGGGAAGAACACTTAAATTTGACTTGTTACTACAGAATGGGGCAGAATATTTGAACACTGGATGTTTTGGAGGATATTTTTGAACAATGGACCCACAAGTCAATTTTAAGAGTGTCTGCTTTAAGAATGTAGATAAGTAAAGGTAAAGGTTCCCCTCGCACATACGTGCTAGTTGTTTCTGGCTCTAGGGGACAGTGCTCATCTCCGTTATACAGGCATGATATTCCCCTCTGAAAAAAAAATCGGGGCCGGCCAAAAGAGATCCCCCACCGCGCGCCAAGAAATCGCTGCCCAGCTCCCTTTTCCTGCCGCTCAGCGGCCTCCGCTCGCACCGCCCGCCCTCCGCTCGCACCGCCCGCCCGGGCTCCGCTCACACCGCCCGCCCGCCCGCCCGGGCTCCGCTCAGGTATCCAGCTGGGGCTGTCAGGAGTTGCTACTGCCAGCGCGGCTCCACGCGGCTCCAGTCCCACGTTGCCTCGGGAAGGGAAAGGCAAAACCAGGAGCCGCTGCTGCCGTTGCAAAGCGCCGCCGCGGCTCTTCCTTTTTGCCTTTCCCTTCCTGAGGCAACGCGGGACTGGAGCCACGCAGAGCCGCGCCGGCGGTAGCAACTCCTGACTCGGGGCCTCCGAGGGGAGGGGAAGGAGGAGAAGAAGGGGGGGGGGAA